CCATCTCCTGAGAATGCTGCTTCAGAATTTGTATTTGCAGAGTTATCAGGAATATGTTAATGGTAGTGGGTAGGGGTGATGGCACTTTAAACTTTGGCTTTTGCTGAGGTAGCCCTTTTGTGCTCTTTCGAAGAGGGCTGGTCCTTCCTCACCGCCCCTCACTTTGTTGGTAACATAGTCTGGCACTCCTCCCATTTTATGAGCTCTGCCATCAAGACGAAGGCCCCTTTATTCACTGCCATGGTGTTAGTGGCTGATGCTAATAGGACATTATTCTAATATCATGTGAATATCTCTTATCATGAACCTCTATTTGATAGTTCAGAAATTTAGGGTTGCAAAGCCCTTTTGACTCCGTTAATCTTGTGATCAACAAACCATTCTAACTTTAGATGATCAAGTTGTAATCATGCAATGTAGTGCAGACACTGTGCGTAACAGCAATACCCGATAAAGCATGGATCACAACATCCTTAAGATGATTCAGCAGCACCATAACACGGCAGTTTATATGCTACTATAAACAAATAACTGTAAATGGGGAGCAGAAGATTAAATTCTAATAACCACTAAATGCAAAAAAAATAGACATTAAGTCCCTAATAATTAGGAATTTATAATTTTCTAATAGGTGTAAAAATTGTTTACATGCCTAAAATGTCCATTAAAAATTTTTGCTTTTTTTATAGGCATATAATGCAGTAGTAATGCACCATAATAATGTTATGCATTAGAATAACTAGTTTATAGATAAAGCTCTGTAGATAGAAAAAACTTCATTTTCTAGTCATTAGGTAATTAATGAACTTGAAAGTTGAACAATACAAAAAGGAAAAAATTAATTCAACGATATATAAAAGATAAGTAATATTCATTTTAATATTCCTAATTTTGAGGTTTTTATTTTTGATAATGTCTTTGGAGAAAAATGCAATATGTGATTGTTTATTTGTAGGCTTCAGTCTAGCATGAAATGAGTTTTACTGATGCAGCAATGGAGGTTTTAGAAATTAAAGTTGAACCTGTTTCTGATAAAGAGCAGAATGCTCTGTTGAATATCAAACTGATGGAAAACCAAGAAAAAAGTATAACATCACCTAGTAGTAAGTAAAAACATTTTTTACATGAATATCTTGTGTTATTACCAACTATTTTCACAATTATAGTGTATGTTGGTTCTTAATGTAACAACATTCTGTATTTATTTCTTGTAGAATAAACATTAACTCAACTGACACATAAATAGTTAACACTCGTGTTTTATGTATAGCCTACCATTAGCAGCAAACCATTAAATATTGTTATGTCTGTTCACACTAATAATGATAAAAAATTTTGTTTGTAGAAAAACATAATTTGTATTATGTTTAATATAGATGGGAACACACTAATGTAACTGAAGAAAAAGATCATTGTATATTGGTAGATGAGATACTCAAGTCACTAAGAAAATGCTCTATTGCTAGTTTTAAAGCTACATGTAATATAAATTTAGAATGTCCTTGTAGGTATATTTATTACAAGTGAAAGGAAGTAATTATTTTTCCAAAAAATTAATAGTTAGACCTCGCTTGGAATACTGTATACAGTTTTGGTTTCCTTTTTAAGAAAGGAAACTGGCTTATTGGAAAGAGTTTCTTATGATTTCAGGGATGGAAAGATTATGTTATAAGGATCGGTTAAGATCTCTTAACATATTTTCTCTTGAAAAAAAAATTAAGAGGTGAAGCTTACAAGGTTATTGATGTGTTAAAAATCTGACTCCTGATTTATTGTACTGAGTTCTTAAGACAACAGGTTGAGAGGGCACAACTTTAATAATTGAAAAAGATAAGTGAAGCTTCAGTTAATACATTTTTTGTTTTTTTAAATGCCCACAACATGTTTTTCTGATTCTCAAAGAACACTGTACTGTGCCCCTGATATCCAGATAACCAGTGCCATTGTTTTGACCTCTAAGAAGATTGTTTTAAACTTTTTGTTTTGTTTTGAGGTTACATCTTTAAGTTATGGATTAGTTGGAAAATTATGTAATTGTCACCACAAAATATAATAACTTAAATTGTTGAATGATTATGTAATGTTATAATGTGATATTGGTGATTGTGTTCCTAAACTCTCTTCTGTATACCAGTGTGTGTGTGTATATATATATCTGTCCTGGCAATTTTTGTTTTTTATCATTCATCTTAAATTCGTCTGACACAAGTGTCTAGAATGTGCTTTCCTTGACCTGGCATTTTCTGATTCAATTTATTTTATACTCTAAATGATTATATAGAGTGTGTTGTATATTCTCCATATGGCATTTCTTGATATTTTTCATTTTAAATTGTAAACAGTTCTCTGAACTTGTTTCATTTATTCACCTAGCATTTCATGTAATTATTCACTTTACATTGTAAACGATGATTTAGAATATGCTTTCTTTCACATACCCAACATTTCCTTATATCATATTCATTTAGAATGTTTTTTTTTATTCTTCACTCAACCTAAAGCTTATATTTGACGGTTTTAATGCTATATGGAACCTAAGAAGATTATTGATCATAAACTATAAAGCTATGATTTGTTTTCAGATCTGTTGTTTATTGTTCTTTCCCATTTTATCATCTAAAGAGATAATACTTTTAATATAACTTGATGAAAGAATTATTTCACCTTTCAGAGCTCATTTTTGTTGAAAAAATCTCATTAATTAAACAAGGTGACATAGTTATTCTGCTGTTTTACAGTAATTATCATCAAGTTTTGCAGTACTGAGTACATTTCCAATATATTTAATTTTGCCTGAAAGTCAATGGAAAATGTTTTTCAAGTGATTGCTTGATGTCTGTCACTTTGCTTTCCTGCACCTGATATTTTATGATTCCATTTACCCTGTAAACAATAATCTAAAGGTATCATAGTTCATCAAGAAGGAGAGAGAAATAGTACTTACATTACTGCCACGAATAAAGTACCAGAGGACATAAGGATAAAGTGGTAGTAGAAGGTAGTAAAGGATAAAATACTAAATCATTTCAATTATATCAGTTAGCCAGATCTAAATTAGACACATGACTAGAAAGGTGTTTTTAGGTCAGACAGAATTTCAGTAAAATCTATTAACAAATAACACCAGAACTTCTGTAAAGTACAAATAAATGTCCAGAGTTTGAAAACTAAAAATATCAAGACTTTAGGTAAGTTGTATGTAAACTGCACCATATCGTCAATCTTGCTTGTTAACAACCATTTCATGAATTGCTTTTGTATTTTATATAATTTTTTTTATGCCTACTGTTCATGTGAGTTACGTTTAACAGGACTCATTCCATTTCATTTCTTCCTGGAAGTCACATGCATGGGTATTGGCAACTGACATTTCGATTCTTTCTGTTTATTTCCTTCTAATAGACATCCTGTTCCCCTGTATAATTGTTTCTTCATCCACAAATCAAACTGTAGATTTACCTAGCAGGTTATTTAATATAGAGGTAAATATATGGGTGTCGTACCTGACATGACAGAAAAAACATTTGAATTCTAGATAAAGTATGTGAATTTTAATCAAAGTGTTGTATACACTCTTACCAACCATTTTCTTCCTTCTTATTTTTATGTAGAATGTTTCAAAATGTTTCATTTTTTCTGTATCCTGTGGAATTTTCACTTAAAACATCGTCCATTTCATCATTAAGTTGACTTCATTGTAGCTATCTTTATCCCATTATTATTTCTTAGACTTTATTTCTAATGCTGCAGGTCTTGTAAGAATGTAGATGACAGCAGTATTCTTCACAAGTAGGCCAGATGATATCTTGAGGTTACGGCCTCTCCTATGTTAACTGAGACTAACCAGTCACTGTGGGTAAATCCAACATTTCATATTAAGTAAGAAAAGTTAGATTTAAACATCTGTGTTCAGGATCCAAAGTGGTTTCTTTGACAGAAAGACACCTTCAGGAAAGAAAAATCTGTTGATCAATTCATGAGTCCAGTGAAAGGCAACTGTTCAGTGTCCAACACAAGTATACACACACTGTCTTTGTCTTGTAATAAATAAAGATTATTTAACAAATAAATCATTGTTGCCTAAGAAGTGTGTCATTATTACACCTGTAACAATTCATCAGAGTATTAATGTAACATGGTGTTTTGATCCCATTTTGATGCATTTATTTGCAAAACCTAAACCTTCTGAATTACTATGTAGAGGGTAAAGTGCTAAATCATTCCTTGATAGATATTGGTTAGATTTATTACGTTTGTACAATTACAATTCAGATTCTTGTGTACAATAAAAATTCATGCAAATTTAATCAAATATTATCATTATAAATTTTGCATTTATGTGTATATAGTTACATACGTGCATAGAGAATACGTTTGCCCGTTTTATATTAATTAGTGGATGTCATAATGATGTATAAACAATGGTTCTGTGTATACATTCGTACAGTTAATATTTTATTGTTTTTTCTTGAGATCATGCTTCTTTGTTTTACATAAATAAATTTTAAACTTCTCAGTTTTCTTTCATTATGCAATTTTGAACATATTTTAAAGGACATATAGTATAGTGACATGTATCACATCATCACTTTGTTGCAGAACCACAGTCCTAGTCAATATATACAAGATATTTGTCTGTGAGAGGTAGATCAGGTATATACCAGACTACCCTATATCTAGTAAATGCTAGAACATTCGCCAAGGTACAGGATAGTTCTAGAAAATAGGTGGCGCTACACCAGTCACGTGACTCGCTGATGCAACAATACTTATTTAATTTTGTTCTTCTAAAAATTATTATGGTTTGTTGGACAACTTCCATAATATCAAACCTTATGTTTAAAATTTCATTTTGGTCTGTAAAGTTTCCTTTTAAAGAAATTATACTCATTATGCTTTTCAATTAAACAACATAAAATACAGATATGTAACATGAAAAAATTTTAATGACAATAGCTAAACCTGTTGACAGTGACTGCAAAGTAACCAAAAGCTTGTTCTATTAAAACAAAAATTTTAAAGTGGAGAAAGGTGTCCATTTTCATAACTAATGAATGTCACTGTGATCCATAAACAATGTGTCTGTGCATACTTTTGAAGGTTAATATCAATATTTATAGTGAGATTTGCTTTTTTTAGAAAGTTACAAAACTGAAACTTATAAAATTACTGAACTTATACATGATGTATTATGTATTAATTACTATAATTATGTATCTGTATTTTCTAATTGTAGGTCCAAAGACTTGTTTTTGCAACTATTCTGGAAAGCAATTTCCTGGTTACAATGGTTTGATAAGAGAAACTTGTGACACAGACAACAGCAATTCTCAAAAAACAACCAGCAGTGATGAATTTGGCAAAACACTTTTTAGGGAAGATAACATAAAACAATGTCAGATTCTCCACACAGGAGACAAACTGTACTGTTGTAAAGTATGTGATAAAGAGTTTAGAAGAAAAAGTGAACTAAATGCACATCAGCGTGTACATAAGGGTGAGAAACTATACACGTGTGTTGTTTGTGATAAAGAATATGGAAGAAAAAGTGAACTAGATATACATCAGCGTATACACACTGGAGAGAAACCATATAGTTGTGTTGTGTGTGGCAAAGAATTTGGAAGGAATAATCATTTAATCAGACATAAAAAAATTCACACTGGTGAAAAACCTTACAGTTGTGTAGTGTGTGGCAAAGATTTTGGAACAAAGAGTCACTTAAAAACACATTTGATGATACATACTGGGGAGAAACCATATAAATGTATAGTGTGCGGTAAAGAATTTGGAAGGAGTAGTCACCTTGATAGACATAAAAAAATTCACACTGGTGAAAAACAATACAGTTGTTCAATGTGTGGTAAAGAATTTAGAACAAAGAGTCACTTAAAAATACATTTAAGGATACACACTGGAGAGAAACCATACAGCTGTGTAGAGTGTGGTAAGGAATTTAGTAGGAATAGTGACCTAAAAAAACATAATAGGACACACACTGGAGAGAAACCTTACATTTGTATTGTGTGTGGTAAGAAATTTGGCCACATAAATCAACTTGAAATACATGAAAGAGTACATACTGGGGAGAAACCATACAGTTGTGAAGTGTGTGGGAAAGAATTTCGAAGTAGTAGTGTGCTAAGTAAACATAATAGGATACATACTGGGGATAAACCTTACATTTGTATAGTTTGTGGAAAAGAATTTGGAATAAACTGTAATCTTAAAGTACACATGAGAACACACACTGGGGAGAAACCATACAGCTGTGTAGTATGTGATAAAGAATTTAGCAGAAAAAGTGACCTAAAAATGCATCATCGGATGCACACTGGAGAAAAACCATATAGATGTGAAGTGTGTGGCAAGGAATTTGGAAGGAATACTATCCTAAGCAAACATAAAAGAACTCACACTTAACAAAAAGATGCTTGTTCAATGCATGGCAAAGAATTTAGAAAAATAGGTTATTTATAATTACATCGGAAAGTACACACTAAGTTAAAAATCATATATCTATATAACTTGGAAGTAATATTGACTTGAAAATATAATAGGATACACAATGGAGAGAAACCTTACACCTGTTTAGTTTGTGTGAAAGAATTTAGAAGAAAAAAGCAAATTAAAAATACACCAACAGATACACACTGGAGAGAAACCATGGAGTTGTGAAGTGTGCAACAAAGAATTTGGAAGAGGTTATCATTTAGACATCAACAGATTCATATTTGGTAAAGAAATGCATAATTGTGTTGTCTGTGAAGAAAAATTTAGAATTATGAGATACTAGAAAATAATTGGTTAGAAAAGACGTCAAAAGGCTCAAATTGGTGTGTCATAAAGAGTTTATAATAACTAATGACATGAAAGCATACATGCACACACTATATAGAAATGATATAGTAGTATAGTGTGTACCAAAAAAGTTATGATGTAAAAATGCACTAGAAGGTCACATTTACATAGTGTGTATCTAACATTTATAATGATTACATAATCAAAAATATAGCAAAAGATCCACGCTGAAAAAAAAACATTTCTGTTGTTGTGTGTCTATGGATTTCAAAGAAATGCTAACTTAAAAAGACATGGTACACACTGAGAGAAATGATTCAATTATTGTGTGTGTAACAGATAAATAAATATTCTTAGTCACTAATAAGACATCATATTATCCAGAATTAAGATAAATCATGCAATTGTGAAGCACGAGAAAAAATGTTATTATTCAAAAAGTAATCAAGAAACCATATAATCAGAAAACAGAAAATATGTGTCTAGTTATTTTATATGTAAAGCCACATTTGATTACTTATGGTAAATATTAACCATCACACTTTGTAATTTGTTAAATAAAAAATACAAATCTGTAAAACATACTTTTATTTATTACCAATGTTTTATTGTATCAGATTTACCAGGGTATAGTATCAAACATCATCTAAAATAATACATATTAAAATGGGATAGAGGAATGAAAAACAGATTTAAATCATACAACAATAATTAACTAGGGTGGCATAATGCATTGCATGTTACAGTTGATAACATTGAAACAATGCAGCCAATATTATAAGGTTAAGAAATAGTACCATAATTTAAAATTTGTAATAAATTATACCAACTGTAGATTTTTATCATAAATTTTAAGTATATTAGTTTCCAGTGCTTTGCCAGCTTTTGTTGCTTAAACCTTAAACCCCCAGTGACACAGCTGTATGTCTGCAAACTTACAATGCAAGAAACCAGGTTTCAATACCTTTTGTGGGCAGAACAGAGATAGCCCATTGTGTAGCTTTGTGCTTAACTTCAAACAAATTTAAACCTTAAAATATAAGTTTTGTTTATTTGAAGTTAAGACATTACTATTTTTTTAAGAGATCAGGGGTTTAATGTGGAATTCAAATTTTCAATCAAAGATTCTGCTTATTTCTTATCAAGAAAGGCTTTTAATAGGCTTAAAATTTGTGACAAAAATCACTTAAACTGCAGCCTCTTAATTTGTCCATTTTGAATTAAAAAGAAAATTTCTGTTAGAATAGCATTTCACACCTATCCTTTGTCACCTACAAGCTGTTGTCCAAGAAGCTTTTTTTCTTCTTTTTTTTCAGAACAAGAACTCATCAACTCAGTTGGAAGATAAGGGACAAAGTATTCTCTAAAATGCCATTTGTATATACAATGTAGTACTTGAAAAGTTTTTTTAAATGGCAAAAGGTGATGAAGTTTTGGAAATAAATAGATCTAAAATATTTAAACTGAAGATTTGTTTTTCTCTCAACATTCCTTGTAATTTTTCCATTTCTGATTCAAGTAAGAGATATGTAAATACAGCATTTCAGATCTATCTTTTGTCATCCACTAGTCTGCCCAAAAGTCTTTTTGTTTAATACCAGAACTCGTACGTTAGATTGAATGATATGACACAAAAGATTTTGTGGAGGTATATTTATATATGCAGTATAATACTTCAAAAGCCAGTGAAGTAGCAGAAATCAACAGACAATGAATATGTGGTAAAAATCACAAACTGCAAGATATTTCTTTCAATGTTTTTCTTAATTTATGCATTTCGTGAAAAGAAAATGCATTTGCAGTTTACATGATTTTTATCCCAAATTTTGGGCATGTTGGTTTTCATTACTTTGGTGGCTTTTGGAATTCAAACTTTAACTTGTAAATGATGGTATTTGAGATTTTTCCTGTTATAACTTGCTTGTTAATAAGTCATAGATGGTTATGTAGTATTCTGCATGGCTCTGTTATCTGTTATTCCTTGTTGAATACATTTGATGTGTTATGAAATTCTATACTTATGTTTGGCCTTGTAAACGTTCTCAGAGCAGCAGGTATCAAATAGTCCTTAGTCTACAGGAAAACTTTTTAGTTTCATACATGATCAGTTCTTGTAATAAAAAGTATCATGTTTTGATTTTAAATTTTTGCCTGGATGTTGGATCATTTGGTTACTGGTGTTGCAAATGCATATTCTGATCCGAAAATATCCCTTTTCACTAATAAAAGGAATGACCCCCAGTTGCCATGCATTCTATATTTAGTGATTGATTTCTTATTGTAGATGTTTGTTGTCAAAATTTCCAAATGCTGATGTAATTGATGGGTATTGTTTTTTGTTTATTTAAATCCTTTCAAGCTTCTAGAGTAGTGCTGTCAGTGTTTCATATTAAAGCAGTATGGCTGTGTTACCAAATATGACTCTGTGTTTAACAAATAATTAGGATGATGAAACAATTTATAAAGACAGGATTGACACAATGTTTTCTGTATGTATATAAAGATATGTTTAAAATTTCCATTGTATGGAAATGGTATTTTACTACTGCATTGGAAATGTTGAAGTGTAAATTTTACAGATGGATGAACTGTTTTGAGAATACTGTGAAATAGAAGATGATGGTCTGGCCCATACTTTCACATGTTGAATACATCATTGTCATGATATAAAAGACTGTTTCGTGTAGATATTATTAATTTAATTATTTATTTTGTGAGTGAATATTGTAGGATTGTTCTGTAACAAGAGAGTTAGAAGCAATTATCTTAAAGTAAATGTTATGACAAGTTTAGTAACGTAACTCGGTAAGAGTCATGCATTGTGTTTGTAACACATTAATGTTGAGATTATTGAACGTTATGTGAAATTTATTGATGTCGAGGATATAGCGAGTGGATGATTAAGTAATAAACATATAAATAGTGTGAGATGAACAGGAAAAATAGACAGAGCAGACGAGAAGTAAAGTTACGAGAAGGAATTCAGCCAAAGAAAAGTTAAATGCAAAATTAATTGTCATAAGAGTGGAAGGCCTAACGGTTGATATATTAGAGTGGGACTAACGGTGTTGAAAGAGAGAAGAAGAATAGTTTATGAAAGTATATGCAGGTGTGACGTCAGAAGGTGGCATGAAATATGACAAGTTAAAAAGTAGCTTTACTGAAATGATATGAACTTACTGAAGAAAGTTTTTGTCAGAAGTTCAGAGGAGTCAAACCCAACACTGAAGAAACTGTATTTCAGTTTATGGCACGTCTGTGGCGATATTTCTCCAGATGGACTGACATGGCCATGTGTGAAAATACTTTTGAGGGACTGGCAGACCTATTAGTACGTGAACAGTGCATGATCACGTGTTCAACTGACATGTCTGTCTTTAAAGGAGAGAGCACCAAAATATGTGGAGGAGATAATCAAGCTGGCAGAACAATATATGGAAACCCATGGAGGTAGTATAATGGGCAAGTACAAGAATATCCAGTTAAACTTGAAACCAGTGATAGCTGACCAGAAGTAGAAGTTTACCAAAGGTGACAGGAGGTTAATAGACAGAAAGGAGAAGAGATGCTATTTTTGTTATAAAATGGCACACATTGCAAAGGAGTGCAAGTCTTCACCAGCAAACAACAGCAGAAATCTCAACATAAAGCAGCTGGAGCTATTTACAAAGACAGTGCTGGTAAGAAACAAGAAAAGAGTGACTGGCACTATGGATGCTGCTGCTAGAATAAACAGAATCAAGACAACTCGTCAGATTCAATATATAAAGAAAGCACAATTGATCAGTGCACGACTACTGCTTGATTCAAGTTAACAAATGGATCAACAGTGCCACTAGTGATGGGAGCATGTGACAAACATCAAGAGATGCCAACAAATCATAATATGCCAATATGTGAAGGATATGTTGGGGACAGTAATGTCAACGTTTGATGAGACACTGGGTGCAGTAGTGCAGCAGTGCGAACCAGTGTGGTATCCAATGGTCAGACGACAGGCAGAATACATCTGTGTGTGTTAATTGATGGGACAGGGAGAACTTTCCCATAGCAGAAATAAAGGTGGATACTCCATATCATGTAGGAGATCTTGAACCCATTTGTATGAAGAAACCAATATAAGACTCTGTGATAGGAAACATACCAGGTAGTAAGAATTTGGAGGAACTAGACAAAAGGAAGATTGATAAAGCATCTGCTGTCACCACCAGAGCTCAAGAAAAGGAGAGCAAACAAGACATCAAGCCCCTGCAAGTGTCAAAAGGCGATATTCCGAATTTGGGCTTGCAGGAACTAAAGGAAGCACAGAAGAGAGACCCTTCACTGCAGAAATTTCGGGACAATGCTAGATGGAAGGTAGTCAAAGTGCTATTGGGGGATATGCCTCACATAGAAGAGCCATTCAGCAGAGTAGCTGTAGACTTGATCGGGCCATTAGCAACTGTGTATGCCAAGTGCAACTGGTATGTGCTGACAGTAGTCGACTATGTGGCATGTTATCTGGAAGCAATAGCACTGGCGAAGATAGAGGCAGGGAGAGTAGCAGAAACCCCCTGAAAATATTTTGTAGAGTAGGCTTTCCAAAAGAAATCCTGAGTAACAGACGGACCCAGTTTGCTTCTGAACTGATGCAGGAAGTGTGCAGACTTATCAGTACTTGGCAGCTCTTTACCACTCCGTACAATCCTAAATGTAATGGACTTTGCGAGAGAGTCAATGGAGTTTTAAAGAGCACGCTAAAGATGTGCCAAGAGAGAACCTGCAACTGGGACAGGTACTTGCAGGCAGTATTATTTGCTTATTGAGAAGTCCCACAAGTAAGTACAGCATTTTCACCCTTCGAGGTATTGTATGGAAAACAGTATGAGGTCCAATGCAAATATTAAAAGAGCTATAGATGGGAGAAGAGTCAGAAGTAAGGAACACATATCAGTATGTGTTAGACCTCAGAAACCGACTGGAAAACACAATAACATATGCTCAAATGTTGCATGTACTATCCACGTGAATGAAATTATTACCATTTTCAACAAGGGGTGTCACCTGGTTAACCATTATAGCATATCCTTGTCACTATTTATAGCATATCTCATGTTACAGCAATCCTCCCTAATGTAGGGCATAAATGATATACCTTGTGACACAATTAGTATCACATAACTAAAGTGAGAGAAAGTGGCCCACTTGGTTGTTTTCTGTATTAAAAACAAAACTTGAAGTTTTGAAAAATATGTGTACTAACCAAGGAGATTGAAAACATATAAAGTTCTGATATGCTCAAACTTTCCACTCTCATTTATTTCCAGGTGAATCAAGACATCATTAACTTTCAAAAACAATCAAAATTTTAACTTGTGTATTAATCAAGAAATAAAAAACAGTTTGCCCTCGCTTCTGAAAAACCACTTGCCTAACAATTCATGCCAAAAATACAAGTAAAACCTCGCATAATACAAAATATTGCACATTAAAGCAATTCAATGTAACACAATAGCACCTTTAGTATTTTCAGTCACACTAAGTTCCCTTAGGATATATGAGTATGGCTCACATGTTGCCTCGAAACAAGATAGACTTGTACCTCCATCACAACGAACTGAATGATAAGTTGCTGCAATGAGTGAACTCCCAGAAAATTTAGAGTTTAAGTTGGATCTGTTCACTGGTTTGAGGGGAGCAAAAGATCATTTGTGGTAAAGGTGTTATCAGCTAGATTTGTCAAGAGTGAGTGATACTTAGTATGTGCCTTTGTACATCCGTGATAGGTCTATGGAGTTCCTTGTCGGCACAAGAGCTTCAAAGACCCTGATAGACACTACTGTGTATCAGGCACATTGAATGAAGTCAGCAATCTGACCTTTGGCAGCAAACTTTTTTCTGGTGAATGATGGCAGATGGAGTGTAAAAGGAAAGGCACATCTCCAACTGTGACAGACAGTTGAGCAGAACAACCATCACATACATACATAGGCTAT